ACCTATGCCTGTGGCAATGAGTTCTCGCCACAGCTTCCCTCTGAACCTCAGTAGAGGTCCCACACTAGGCTTCTTTCCTTGTTTTCTCTAGACACTTGGTACCTGCTTGAGAGACTTTCCTCGGTCTCCCTGAGCCCTATTAAGTGATTGGTAAACCTTTACATGTCCCTTGTCATGAGTCAGTTTTCTCTTTGGTTGTGGGCACATACGAGACTGCTTTCTTGTCTTGGAATTTTTTTTAAATCTCTGTGGCAATAGTAATAGTGTCCTGAATAGTGTAGTTTTTAAGGTTTTATGTATGCTAACATACTGTTTTCTTATTCTTAGTATTTAAATGTTGAAAGATATTTATTATACCTACTAGGATGAGAAAGTAGTTTTTCTTGACTGAAGATGTATTTTAGAAATTATCAACCTCATCAGTATGCATGAGAAGAGACACTTTGGTGACTTTGCTATTTCTAAGAACATGTACCATCCTTCCCTGTTTCATTTCCCTTTGACAGTCTGCAGTGGATACTGCAATGTTTTGTTTTGTTTTTTATACTGCGATGTTTGTCTGTTAGCACAGTGAATTATCCTATGAGTCTTATTTATTATTTAATTAAGGTTGGTCTAAAACCCTTCAGAAGCTTCCAAAAGTTGTCACAGAAGATGTGTTCAGTTCCCTGAGGAACCAATTGTGATGAGGTTTTGAATAACATCTGTCAAACCAGCTTATTAGACATTGATCAGAGTGTATTTTGGGAGCTGATAAGGTAGCCTCCCTTTCAGAGTGATAATAGCTATTAAGTAAATAGAATATTCTTGTTACGAAGTTGAACCATCCACCCACTTTGACAGTTATGTTGCTGTGGTCCATCTCAGTAGCAGCTCTAGATACCAGGGACATTGAACTTTGTTCTCAGACATTTCTAAGAATATCCTCTTTCAGGACAGGTGGTATTAACTCTTCTTTGGAGCACTCAGTAGGACAAATTTGTTATTGGGGGTGGTACAGATTCCTTGAACGAAGAGAAATTGGTATGACCCACATAGTTCAAATCTAGCATCAGAAAAGCTCTAGGAGAGTGTGAGTATAGATAAGAAATAAGAATATGACCAAGATTTCCTGACTATTTGGAGAACACAGTGTTATGTGAAGTTCTTATGAAGTGAATCTAGATCTCTAGTGCAATGAATGTCACTCTTATGGAAATATATGTGTGATTGTTTTAGGAGTCCGTGACTTTTAAGGATGTGGCTGTGAACTTCACTCTGGAGGAGTGGGCTCTGCTGGATCCTTCCCAAAAGAGTCTCTACAGAGATGTAATGCAGGAAACCCTCAGGAACCTAGTTGCAATAGGTAAGGGTGATGTCATTTCCTAGTGAAGCAGAGACCAAGCATTTCTTGTGCATCAGTGTTGTTTCCTATCTGGAAGACGGAAAAGGAACATTTAGAGGATTATTCCAGGCATAATCACATAATACAATCAATGTAGCTAGACTGTAATAATTTTAGTCCTGTAATTATTCCTAATGACTTTTTTGTCTCTACATTTTAGGAGAAAAATGTGAATACCCAAATATTGAAGATGGGTACAAAAACTCCAGAACTATAAGGTAATTTACTCTCAGGAAAAGCAGCATTGTACCTCAAGAATCCAGGTGTACCAGGAAAGTTTAAAAATAACCAAATGAGAGAAATACACCCAGTTTCAACCTGATTTAATCTCTGAAAATTTTGTTCAAAACTGCGTACTAGGTGAACATCTATATGTGGAAAATATGAAATGTTCCAGTCTTAAACACTTCTGGGGCACTAACATCTTGCTCTAAGTGAGTTTCTGATGGTTGAACATTAATGAATTTTGCTTCATGTATCAGGAATTTGTAAAAACAAGTGTTGTAGTTACTTGTTGCTGGAATAAAATACCTAACACCCACAACTCTTAAGGAGAAAATACTTATTTTGGCTTACTGCTTGTAAAGATTTCAGGTTTCAGGGGCCGGGGATTTAGCCCAGTGGTTCTGTCGCCTGCCTCACAAGTGCAAGGACCCAAGTTTGATCCCCGGTACCAAAAAAAAAAAAAGATTTCAGGTTTCAGTCCATAGTCAGCTGGCTCCAAGGCAGGGCAGCATGCCAGAGGTACATGCAGTGGAAAAACGCTCATGGCATGGCAGCAGAAAGCAGAGAGAGAGATCAAGGAGGAGGAAGGTAGATACACCCCTCTAAGCCACGCCTACTTCCTAGCACCAGGCTTCCCTTCCCACATCACATCTAGGTGCAAACTTATCAGTGCACTGATGGCCATCACACCCCCC